GCTTGAGCAGTTGGTCTGAATAACTGGAGTGATACCAAACAACCTGTTAAAATGTTATATAAAAAACAGGGCATTACATAAACATAACATAACATTTCATCCAAGCCATCCTTCCATAATCTTTTGCATTCAATATGGGCTTCAACTCCCATAATTCCCAACCATCTTAATAAGCTGTATTCACTGTTTTTACAATAAAGAACTAAAAGTTGCTACAACATTCACAAATCACTTCATTTTGTTCTATTTTCAAAATTCAGATTAACAAACAGTTATTGATTCTGCTTCCAAATTCTTCATAAATATTAAGAAGCATCATAGCAAAATTAACAACAGGATTAAGTAGTGATATTTTCCTGTGCTTGAAAGCCAAGCAGAAGAGAAATGTTTTAACATCTTGGCGAAAACTGAGAAAAGAGCAACTCAATTTAACATCAAAGTTCTCTGACCTGATTGCTATAACCAAGGACCTGCTCTACATTCTCACTCACCTTGATGCTGGAACATACTGAGAGCCTCTAAAGCAAATTTGTAACTACGAGAAGAAATTTATACAGGAAGCAGCAGATTTTCAGATATCTTGAGAGTTATTCCATGCTTCTGAAGTATAGCATAATGCCAGTTCTAAACACTTCAATCTAGCAAATACATGCTTATAAGTAATACAAAGCACGTGAGGGGCTATCATATACTCATGGGTTTCTGAAGCTCGCAGAAACAACAAGATGAAAAGTTCTGTATATAAAATGGAAAAAGGGGGACATGGTGGCGCAGCGGCTTAATGACACTGAAAGTTGCCAGCCAGAAATGGTCGATACTTCAGCGGTTCGAGCCCAGCCTTCGCGTTAGCAGGGTGGGCTCCTGTTTCCTCCCCAGTTCCTGTCAACCCAACAGGTCAAAAACTCACGTGAGTAGATAAATGGGTACTCTCACTCCGGTGGGAGGAAAAATGCTGGCGGCGCCTTGAAAAGGGAGACGGGAGCAGTTGCCGGTAGCACGGAACCCGCACACACCCGAAAAAAGGCACGAAGCAACGGAAACCCCGCCTCCTGCGCTTGCCAGCTGGGCTCTGCTCTAGG